GACTTGACAGAGCTGCCTTGTGCTCATGCAATTTCTGGGATACGGAAGAGTGGGGATGACATACTGAAATATGTCCATAGTTGGCCTATGAACCTGCCATTATGCCAATCAATGCATCTGAAGAATGGCACAAATGTGGACTGCCACCTCCAATTCCTCCCAAGTATAAAGCACAGCCCGAGCGCCCTAAAAAAGAAGAAGAGTTGCTGAAGTTGAGCATGAAGAGGCAAGAGCAAAACATAAGCTTCCTAGAACTGGGCATGTAAAAAAATGTAGTGTATGTGGAGAAGCTGGGCACAACAAGAGGAAATGCAAGCAGACCGCCACTCAGGTTATTTCTTGTTCTTACTGGGAGAGATTCTTTTATGTTTTCATGTATGTTTGTCACAGGCTTCTATGTATAGTAACTACATGTGTGTTTGGTTGTCACAGGCTGGTCAAAGTAATGGTGAAGGTGATGGTATGAGCCAGCCTATGCCTGATGTCACGTCCAGGGTAGCGCAATTGAAAGTAAAGTACCTGATGTTGTGTTGGCAGAAATGGTAAGTATAAATTCCAAAATTTTGAACTTCTTTAACATGAACTTGTGCCTTATAGTCATTGTCAATAAATGTAGGACCTAAATAACTCTCAACAAAGTAAAGCTACACCATCATCTAGACTGGAAGTGTTGAAGAGGAAGGCCAAGGAAAGGATGCAAGACAGACTGCACAAGGAAGAAAGAATGTGAAGAAACTACCAACTCTTCATCAAGGCCTAGCCAAGAAAAATAGAAGTCGATGGAATGTGACCAAGACAAAGTGATTTGCTTGAAGGCAGATGGCCTTTTTGTTGTGGCATTGGATATATTTTTGTTGGTGTAAAACACTAATGCTATATGATGTATGACATTAAATTTTTGTTCGTGTTAAACACTCATGGTATATGTTGGTATGCCTTTACTTTTTTTTACCATGCTTAACTCATGCTGTATTTGATATGGCATTATATTTTTGGAGGTCGTGTGACACACTTTAATGTTGTGTACCAACCTCATGTGTAAAAACTTATGGCTAAATCTGTTTGTGTTTAATGAAGTGGACATTTAGTATTATTTTTATGTCGTACTATATATAGTTATATTATAATGAAATGCATTTAGTTCTTTGAATGTGTTACCATTATATGAGATTTAGTTGTTTGTAATAGGATAATGGCAGCCTTGATTAAAATAGACCATCTCGATTTAGAATGGACTAGTGGATTAGAGTGTGACCTTGATGACACTGATGAAGGGTTTATGTTAAAACAAACCAACTAACACATTTGAACATGAGTTTCAACATTCAATAACAACAAAGACATTTGCACAAATGGTCTTGTTTGATTACATAAAATGTAGCCAAATGAACTACACAACAAAAGTACTTATTAGAACCACACTTCTGACAAATGAAGTACGCAACATGTTCTCACAAAACAAGGGTACAATTACAACAAAACTACATATTACAACCACACTTCTAGGATTAATAACACTAAAATCAAAATTGGAAGAAATGACACGAGCAAGAAAAGCATGTGTTAAATGTGCACATGCATTAGTTTGTATGCCATCAAATTGGTCACGTGACAAACATTTTGCAAACATTTTTATGTAACAAACATTTATATTTGTGTTATATTGATTTTACAAACATTTTATTTTTGTGTAACAAACATTTTGCAAACATTGCGCAAAAATTGATTTATGTAACAAACATTTTTATTTGTTGCCTAGCTTAAAAATACATTAGTTTGTGTTACATAAATCAATTGTTGCATAACTTAAAAAATAAACGAGCTCTTGCAGTATAATTGTTGCTACCCTTCTTTGGTCTTCTTGTCAAATGGAATTGTCAAAGTTAGTGTCATTTTCCCACCTTCGGCCATTGTAGCTTGTGCAAACATTTGTATAAGTTCACTAACATCACCTTTCACCTTTGCATCTCCACTTCCTTCACCTTCTACACTTGGACATTCCCTACCATTATTGCTGCTTTCACCATATTTCCATTCAAAGTAATTGCATTTTGTGCAATTGTAGAACAACCTACCTTTATTCTTTCCGACCTCTGTTGTGACCAAACATCTTTGAATACCATTTGAACAAGCAGGGCGTTTTATCTTGTTAGGGCATTCATTAAGGAAATGTGTTGAACTCCTGCAACTATGGCATATACCATAGTTTGTCAACATATCTATCCTGCAAAATGAATCAAACAACAAACATCATGACACCCAAGCAACCCTAGGCATCCGGTTTGATTTTTGGGAAAAAAAATAAAAACTTCATATTTCTACGCACTTGAAGACGAAGAACAGACGAAAGAAGAGTGGTCTTCAATACTCCAAACGCCCGAAGAGCGTACCAAGGAAGATAGCTTTTGATTCAGTGCGAAGGAAGAACGGCTGGAGAGTTTTTTATTCGATGAACGTACGAAGTCTGGTTTGTAATCGATGATGAAGGGTTCTAAACGAAAAGGGTGTGAATTTACAAGTGTAACCCCGATTAAACCGAAGGATAGACGGAGTTTGTAATTTTTATAACGGCGGGGGTGACATTTACAATTATTCTGACAACGCGGGGGTTACATTTAATAAAGTTGAAATACGGGTCGGGGATTTCAATGTGGTGGATAATTGGGGGACAAAATGTGCGATTTCCCTTAAAAGTAAGTATAAAATGAATGTATAGTACAGAAATAATAAAAGGAAAATAATTTGAATAGAACATTAAAACGAAAACATAATTAATGCGCTCACGGTCATCAAGAGAACATGTTTGAACAAAATCAAACTCTAGAAAATAACTGACAATACAGAGACGGTAAGTAGGCATTAAATAGTTAAAAAGTTCTAATGAAAGTTTGATAACAGAGCAGGTAACATAAAGCAATATACATATAGTTCACTTTTTTAATGATGAAATTACCTTCTTATTTGAATCAATTTACATTCACCCAACCTCACTGCACGAACATCCTAATCACAATGATCATTAAGGCAAGCAATATGCAACTCTTTTGTATTTGAACATCTTGTCTTATATTGAAAAAGATATGAAATATCCTACATCTTCAAATGGTAATCTAATTATTTCTTTTCCTTGTATATATAGACTGACAATATGTATAGGAGGAAATTGAGAGATTAATTTGATTTCCTGAATATCAAGAAAACAAGCTAAATCAAATTGAAGATTGATATGGATATCTTCAATGTAGGGAGATACACGTGAAGAAATTTTATTGGTAAGAGCAGAAGTTGGCAGAGGAAATGAATTTGTATTTTTGGATTATACTGAAATGTCATCATTGGTAGCTTGCAGATTGAAAGACATGACTTCATCTGTAGGGGATGAAATAGCAACACATGACAAAAACATCTTCTAGCTTAGTTGATCAAATTCATCACATTTGGAAACGTTCAAAGCAATTACATGAAGAGAAGTCGAAATTAGTAGTGATTAAAATTAGCATCCCCATTTAGTATAATTAGCATTACGAGAATATTGGTATTAAAGCAGTACTAAGTAAAATATAATATGAAATAGTAAACAAACAGTAGAAAAAAAATAACACTCTGTAACCAAGCATTCCAGCCCAGCTAGTTGTGAGGTTACCGTGCCTAGTGAGAGATCTCGAGTTCGAAACTTGCTAGGCACATAAGGATTCAAAACTCAATGGACTGAGTTTCAGCCCTGATTACTCCAAGCCCCCCCCCCCCCCCCCAGACCCCCCTGGAGTAAAAAAAAGAATGATTAGTTAATTACATGAAAACAATTCATAAAGTATGCTAAAAACAAAGCAGTCAATTTATGAAAGTATAATTCATGAAACGAAATAATGAAGTAATCATCAAAGGTTCTACTTACAAACTGGATATATAAATAATCCTCAGTAGTTTTGAATAATTTGTCAACTGAGAAACTCATAAGCAACTAAGAATAATATACACAAAGAATTACAATAGCAAAATCACAAATAAATTAAATAATTCACATATTGAGATGAAATAAGAGGATATGAGATCATTGGTGCAGAGGGAGTTCAAAGTCCACCCAACAATAATGAAGCTAGCAACATTATGAAGGTGTTTTGGTTAAGAAGTTCATAAACAACTAAGAGGAAGATACGATGGGTTTTAAAAAGTATAAACACAAAGGAAAATAATGACAAACATGGAACTTACAACAAGAAATAGTTGCAAAAACAATCCATGGAGGATTTGAAGAAACGATTTTTTTTCAGCGATTTATTAGTGGATTTGTAGATACTGAGAGAGTATGGAGATGACACAACATTATTGTAGAAGGATTTGAAGAGCTCTCAGCTACGATGAATGCAAATTACAAAGGAATCGTTGCAAGTAGAATTCAAATTCTCGAAGCAAATCGAACGCAAATGATGAAGAAGTTGGTACATCGTCGAAATTTGCGCATTGTTCATATAGGCTGGTTTGGGTCGTAAATTTAGACGGGAATTAGGTCAGTAATAGGCAACTAAGGATAATTTAGGTAACTTAGAATTAAGTTTTCTGAAATAGAACAACTATAGATCTACGGAAGTAAATTTACTAACAAAATCCTATTTTCGTCAAATAAATATTAAATAGTCTTACACTGGACAATTTTCTCTAAAGGTATATGCGGAGTTTATATTTAAAGAGAGGGACAATTCTGTACTTTAATAAAAAAAAGTAATTAAAGATCATTGTTTACCAAAATTTAATTAAAACCACTTATAGTTACAAACTTACAAACACCGTCTATTTTTACTATAATCATTTTTCAATAATCTCTTAAATAAATAAGAGTATATAAATGAAATAATTACATAAATATGACAAAAATAAAGATGATTTACAAAAAAAATGACTAGTTACTAGAGTAGTAATGAAATCATAGTAATTCATATTCAAATTTTGAACTTAAGTTACCACAGCACTACGTTAAATAACTATTTATATAAATAGTGTGTATTTAGATGAATTGTGGACAAAGAACGTGGGATCCAAGTGGGGTGTGTCATTTGGGTTTTAGTCAACCACTACAGACCATCTCATCTGTACCAAACAAACAACAGTGATGGCATCCACTCGAGACACTAGGCCACCACCACTCTCCCACCCACCCAAAACCTAACCTACTTTCCTCCTCCGATTCCGATCGATATAACCCACAAACAAACTCGGAGGAGGAGGAAGAAGAAGATACGATTCATTCTTTCCGGCGGTTCCCTATTTCTAACGAACGTGATCACCCGCAGACAGCGGCGTTGGGTTATGTCGTCCACCACTGACGCAGCAGCGGAAGCCGCCATCGACGTTCTGGCGGTAGCGCAAGAGAAGCCTTGCCGGAAATTCCCCGCGCCCTGTTGGACGCAAGAGGAGACCTTGGCCCTGATCGAGGCCTACAGGGAGAGGTGGTACGCGCTCCGACGCGGATACCTCCGTACCGCGGACTGGGACTCTGTGGCGGAGGCGGTGTTCAACCGCTGTCCAGATGCGTCTCCCGCCAAGACTTCCGCTCAGTGCCGGCACAAGATGGAGAAGCTCCGCCAGCGTTACCGTGCCGAGAAGCAGCGATCCCTCTCATACCCTGCCGGGACCTTCTTCTCCAATTGGTTCTTCTTCGAGAATATGGATGCCATGGAGAACGGAACGCAGGTTTCAGCTGCTGCTAGATCCAACCCCGATCAAGACGAACACCACATGGTTCAGGGCTTCGGTTTTAAAACCTTGATCGATCAGAACTTGGTCAAACTAAAGCTCAACAATCCTATGGAGAATCCAAACCCCAATAATTATGCCTCTCGAGTCCCAAATGGTTACGGGTCGCATTTGGATGTTGCAAGCAGCAAGAAACAGCAAGTTGAAGCTGCTGCTGCTCTTCCTTTAGAAAAGGCATTCCCCATCAAAACCCGGTTCAATGCTATTCCACTCCCTGTTGGATTCAAACCAAAGAGGAGCGATTTCAATAATTGTGAGATGAAGAATGGTTTTGATAGAGGAGAAGGGCGGCATCTGAATTTGACAGAGTATGAGGACAGAATTGATCCAAGTGAGGAATATCTGATGAGGTTGTTGGAACAAAGAAATTCAGGCCATGCAAGTAGGGGAAATTCAAGTTTTCAGAGATCAGCAGCGGGCACAGGCGGGGGAGTGAAACGGGAGAGGGAATCGAGGAGCAGTAGTGATCAGATAGCTTTGTCGATCCGGTTCTTGGCAGAAGGATTCATCAAGATAGAGAACATGAAAATGGAGATGGCAAAGGAGATGGAGCAGATGAGGATGGAAAGAGAGATGAAGCAGAGTGAGATGATACTTGAATCCCAGAAGCAGATGCTGGATGTTTTTGGGAAGGTGTTGCATGAGATGAATAACAACAACAAAAAGGCCAGGACGGCATCCCCTCCCCCTCCTGGAGAAGAATCATAGACGCCTTTATGAATCTTAGTAACTAGCCAACTAGTATTTTTAGTAACAACTTATTACAGAGGGAGGGAGACTCAGGGAGTATATGAATGAATTGAGTTATAGGTGTGCGCATCATGAGTTTAGTAGCCATGACAGCCCCGAGCATGTAACATATAGTATAAAGATGGTTGTTTTGTTTGTTTGTGTGGTGATTCCCAGCAGCAGGCTCATTCGTTGTTGCTCGAGCTTTCTTTGGATTTGATTTCTTTGTGTATATAGTGCACGCATCTTGAATATTCTATCTCATCTTTTAACTGTTGTTAATGTCTGTGTATTGGGGAGTTGGTTGGTCATCCCATTCCCAAGGTGGTGTGGCGTGATACCAACCAATGGCAGATCAACTCTGCATCTTACTGTACCTAAGCTTCCCAAATCTTTTCTTCCCAACAACTATAGCATATTTTTTTTTAATAAGAACCACTTCGTCAGCATTTTTTTTATAATAAGAATCATTTAATAGTCGGCTCCATCCAGTTTTGTCACCAACAAAAGTTCCACAAGTCATCCTGAACAACTTCTCACTGATTAACTCAAGGAGATATATTTAAGGGAAAATGGAAACTAATAATCCAACCTTTTAGCGGTCTTCTTTTAATAGTCCGACCTTTTCGTTATTCATGAATAATCGAATCTTTGCACCTCATCTTCATTCATTGGTCCCCAACCGGTTGATGACCTGCTATTCCGAGTTATTTTCTCATCTCTGCAAACTATTATACCATAAATTCCACCTTTCACAAAGATAATATTTTGCAAAGATAAGAAAATAACTTGGAATAGCAGGTCATCAACCGGTCAGGAATTATTCATGAATAACGAAAATGTGGGACTATTAAAAGAAGACCGCTAAAAGGTTGGATTATTAGTTTCCATTTTCCCTATATTTAATTGGTCGATGGAAAGCAATTGTCAGTACCCTAGTCCTTCACTAAAACAGTTGTATCAATGATGAGATTGAATCATTGAAATATAAAATGTCCATAAACGAACGATCCAAACAAGCAGAAAAAAGATTCAATTAGCTGCATGTTCTTTGAATCATTGGATCCAACGCTTGTGTGTAACCACCGCTATTGACTGTATGAATCTCTCACAAATTCAGCCCTTCATACAAAAGAGCAAATTGGAAAACATGTAACAACTACTAAACGAATCCTACCTGGTAGTTGCTTATGAACAACAAATATTTACACATTGAAATCCATATATGCAACAAAGGCACACTATCCCATACCTCTAAAACAAGGGATTCCTATTTACGTCTTTATACAACAAGTAGCGTGTGCGAGTCTTTCCAAGAGCTGCATACCTGCAAAAACCAATGGTGCAAAGTAGTAGGGCTCACATGGATTGGGTGATGGGTAAATTGAAAGTAAACTTCCATTCAGTTCAGATATATCTGTTTGATGAAAAACTTATAAATCAACCCAAATTAACACTACATTTTATTGCTTGGAGGTGTATGGGCATGGAGTTGGCAACATATTGAAGGAGGGTATGTCTACCAGCCACAGATAAGAGATGATTTCCAAAGCATGATTTTAGATCTAATGTTGCTGATGGGTACTCAAGTAAGAGATTGGTGGGGTGCGAGATTAAAACTTGCAATATCCTTGACAGTGTCACTATTGGCCTTATCAGGAAGGATGAAGGAACTCTTTTACTTGTTTATAGCCTCAACAAAGACTTCATATATGTTTCAATCACCAAGTCTATAATCCTCTTTATTGAGTTTTTTTTATCATCAGCAAAGATAATTATATTATCAGCAGACCAAGGTGAGAGGTGTTCACAAGACCACACAGTCATTCATTAAGTAATTACAAAAAAAAAGTTTTTTTTTTCTTCTCGAAACACAGTGATACAGAGTAACGGGTAAAATGGAAGAAGTGACTATTAATATATCTCTATTTATTAGTTCTAAACAAGAAATAAGCATATGATTATGTATTTCTATATTTTTCTACTTGTTTGACTGAATAGGTTTCATCTAACGCTTAATAATTCAACAGATTCAACAACTTCAACCTTTCCATCATTTGTAATGGAGCCAAAGTTTCATCATTTGTAATAAGCAAAAAGACTCGCTAAACTGTCTGCGCTTATTTGTTATGAAGCAGCAGTCAGTCCATGCAATTTTGGACGCGATTTTCACTATGGGTCATCCGGAAACAGTCTCTCTGTGCTTTAGTATAGGGGTAAGACTGCGTACATCCGACCCCCCCTTACCCCACCGTAGGTGGGAGCCTTTGCGGCACTGGGGTAAATGAAAATGAATTCAACAACTTCAACCAAATAACCCTCTTACCGAAGAGGCAAATATGGGGGAGTAAGGGGGTTGCCAGGCCTGCTTCACACCTCACCCCAGTTTGATCATATTTATTTTTTACTATGAAAGCTTATATGAATGCATTGTTATTTTCAATTACCACTTCAACCTGCCCACACAGGTTGTCGAATTTAGGGGAGTGATGGATCCACAACTAAATGTTGAACACCCAGTTGGACATCATAAATATTTATTGAAAAAATTTAAAACAAATCACATCACACTTACCACTGGGGAACAAACGGCGCCATCCAGATGGCATCACCGGCTTCGACAGGATACCTGTCATTGTCAGCCAAATGCAAAGACTGTATCATCAGAACAATAAACTACATTACAAGTTCTCCGGAGGTCATAAATATTACACTCCTTATTAATTAAAACTCACAAGGGGTATATTAAAAAACAACTAATAGGGGTGGAAACAGGTCATGTCTGGTATCTACTAAAGGCTTAATTTTTGTTTTAGCCTAGCTTGTTTGGATGGCTTACCTAAAACATGTTAACAAAACCTGCTAGCAAAATATATTAATAGGTAAATTTCAACATTTATGATATTAACAGGAGGTCTAGTCACAATTTGCGAGGTCACACAGTATAACAAATAGCATTTTTGTTTGTCCACATAGAGACTGAGGTTGACTGTTCATTCATTTATTGATGATTGGCAAAGTGGTATAAGCAGAAAACTTTAATGAATGAATCTTTGTTTATGACATACATTTATGTATATTTCACAAAGTACATACAAATAGACTGACCTGTCAATCTAAACAGGCTTCAATATGTGTCCCCTGACATGGCCTATTTAAGTAAACGAGCCTTTAAAAAGCCGAAATCTTATTTATTTAGTAAAGAGGCTGGACCAAAACAGGCCTCAAGCCCCTTACAGGCAGCCTGGCCTATTCTCACTCCTAACTCTAAGAAGTTGAACTGCGGATTTCTTGGTCCATCACATTCATGCATTTACGATTCATGTGACAGTCTTTATACTCTTGAAAGGTGTTCTATTTGCTCGCAGTTCCCGTTTGATACCGGATAAAGCAAATCTTGATTAATAGCAGATTGAACAGCTGTTTTAAAGCATTTTTTCAACACCAACTATATAAATGAACTATTAGCTGGAGAAGTGAGGCTGATCAATACTCTTGTCTAACAAAATAAGAATTGAATTATGAAATATATAATTACCCAAATGTGGTATGCTAAATAAACTAAAGGGGAATAATACTGTGGTATATGCCAAGTCTACAGGTGGTTCTTGTCCATACATCATTTAATTTAGCATCGCCTTTTATTAATACAGGTGGTTCTTGTCCATATAAAGCTTGGTAAGGGGCAGTTTTATGTGAAGCACGGAAATTGGTATTATATCAATATTCTGCCCAAGGAAGCCACTTAAGCCACTGCTTGGGTTTGCTCCCAGTAGTACATCTCAAATAGGTTTCCGCACACATATTCACCGTCTCATTCTGCCCATCAGTTTGAGGGTGATAAGTTGTGCTACACCTGAGTTTAGTCTCGGCTAATCGAAATAATTCAGAGGAGAATGTAGCAAGAGAAATGTTGCCTCTGTCTGATACTATGGATTTAGGAAATCCATGTAATCTGACCATGTCCTGTATAAAAATATCTGCAACACCTTTAGTCGTGTATGGATGAGATAGGGCATTGAAATGAGCAAACTTGGTGACTATCCACTACCATTAATATAGTGTCTTTGCCCATTGCCCCGGGCAGTCCACCCACTAAATCCATGCTTATGCCAGTCCATATTTGGGTAGGAATGGGAAAAGGTTGGAGGAATCCTGAAGGTTTCAAAGCCTAATACTTGTTTCTCTGACAAACTACACATTTTCTTACAAAATTCTGTACTTCACTTCTCATCCATTCCCAATAGAATACACTAGCTATTCTTTTCAAGGTTCTGAGATTACTTGAGTGCCCCCCCCCCCCCCCATGGCAGAATCATGGAACTCCTGTAGAATGGAAGTAATTCTGGCAGAGTTCTTAGGTATCACCAATCTGCCCCTATAGTATAGTAGCCCATTTCTGAGTGTAAAGCCTGGATGAGAATCAGGCTGAGGCTGGTCAAGAGTTTTTCATCTAGAGGACTAGAAATATGGGAAATTCTGATACCACCATCAGCGAGGTACTGGGAAGGGAGAGGCACCAGGAGAAAGCCGAATTCCAGGATTGGTTCCTATCTCCCCACCTTGAGGACAAGCTGGATTCTCAGGGGGGGAGTATTGATAGACACCCGAGTGAAGCTGCTAGTACTAATAATAATAATAAGCATTACGGGAAGATCTATAGTAGGAAAAAGGAAGTATAACAATTAGTTAGTTGCTAAGGTGTAATTTTGATTTGTATTCTGAATAGAATATATAGTGGGGAAAGGGGAGTTAGTAAGGAGGCTGTTTGTTAGTTAGAACTGGACTGGGAAGATTGAGACGGACTGTCTCTCTCTTTGGGCTACGGCTGAACTTGTATACACCATTAATGAAAGCTTGAATTGTTCTTGAATTCTCTTTCATAATTTCTGTAATTCCTACCTATCTGTGTGAGTCCTATCAGCCTGGAATGTAGAAGGGGCATTTGTGAGTCCAAAAGGCATCACAACATATTGATAGTGTCTCTCATGGGTTCTGATAGCAGTCTTGTGAATATCTGACTCCTTATTCTTATTTGATGATATTCTGATTTGAGATCCAACTTAGAAAAAATCTAAGCCTTTCTCAATTCATCCAACAGCTCTTCAATCACAGGTAATCTTATTAGGGATAGTAATCTTATTTAATGCTCTATAATCTCCAACGTCCATCCTTCTTAACTAGGATAACAGGATTACTGTAAGGGTTGTTGCTAGGTCTAATGATTCCTGTACCCAGTAAATCCTTGCTAACCTATTAATTTCATTCTTTTGGTAGTGAGGGTATTAAGGCCTTATCATGGGAATAGAGTCTCCTTCCTTGATGTTGAAGGCATAATCACACTCTCTGCTAGGAGGTAGTCCTTGGGGTGTCTGAAGTACTGAGAGGAATTCAGTAAGGATCTCCCCCAACTTCTGATCTGGTTGGTTATTCTTTTCCAGGTTTTCTGTGTACTCTTGCCAGTATAAGTAATAACCTTCTCATTGATTTTGCAGGTCCTTCACCAGAGTTTTCCATGAAGCTTGATACTGCTAAGATTAGGATCTCCTTGTACTTTCCTCTCCAGCTCCCCTTCCCACCACTTAATTGTCAACCTGCTGAAATTGACTTCCACATTTCCTAGGCTGGCCAACCATTCCACATCAATCCCAGATCAGATCTCCCTAACTCTGACAAGTAGAAATCCTGGGTAACCATCAATTCCTGCACCCATATCTGTATTCCCTAACATATCCCATTGTTGGTTATGATGTCTCCATTTCCCATCTCCACCTGGAATCCTGTTATCCTTCTATAAGACAAATTCAGTTCTATAAATTTTTGGGATACAAAGTTATTGGTAGCCCCAGAATCAATCAGGATTATAACTGCTCTGCTTTTCTCCTGATCTTTCAACTGCATGTCCCCTCATTTTGAAAGTGTTAGGTGCTGTAAGGTCCTCTTTACTCAAGATGGATAATTGCAGTTGGCTAACTTCCCTTTCTGCCTCAGATTGTGATACCTCTTCTTCTTCTCCATCCAAGGATTCCAGTAAGACAAACTGATAATGTTTCATCTTACAAATGTGCTCCTTGTTCCATTTATCTCCACATTTGAAACACAGCCCTTTGCTACTCCTGTCTTGCAATTCAGATTGACTCATCCTCTGGCCTCCCTTCCAAGACTTCCTTTTTCCTTGAGTTTCTTCTGCTTTAGGATCTGATGCACCCTTCTCCTGAGGATATGTCTTAATAGAATTAGATCTTCCTTTGTTCACATCTGTCCAGGAATGAAACTTGGGCATATTCCCTCATTTTTCCTTCCAGATTCTTTAATCTTCTCCTCTGTTTCTCTCAATCCTCAAGGCAGAATTCTCCTGTTCCACTAAAATAGCTCTGTCCATGAAATCAGTTAAATTGTGGGAACGGTACAGCTTATGCTCGGCTCAGACCTCCTCCTTGAGTCCATTCAGGAAAATGCCCTTTAGCATTTCACCATATGTCTGTCTCCCGGGGGCTACCACTAACTCAACCTGTTCCCTGTACTCCATGACAGTACCTATTTGTTTCACACTAAGCATTGGACCAAAAGTATTCAGAACCAGCTCAGGTTGAAACCTTTTGATCAATGCCTCCTTGAATGACACCCAGTTGTGATCAGTAGTCGTTTAATTTTGCGTTCTAGCATACCCCATGTTCATCGTAGACTCCTGACGGAAGGATGAGGCCTGCAAACTGTCTGCTCGCGATGAGCCCTGGCTTTCAGAATGGCGTTGATGTCTAGATGTCCTAGATCGTCCTCTAGATCACTGGTGACCTTGTTGAAGCAATAAGTTCCACATCTCATCCACTACAATTCTCATCTCAGCCATATTTTGTTTGACATTTCCATCTTATTTTCCATTTGCGAACGTGAGAAAATCATTCACTGCTCCAGCGATCAACGATGCTATAATACCAAATGATAGGTAAAAGTATGGATATTAAAATCATGGGAAAAAAATGGATCAAAGAAGCAAATGTAAGCTCTTGGGTCTCAGTATACGATCAGAAAAAATAGGAAGAAGACAGAATATGTCATTCTAGAGTGCCTTGCTCTCCAAGTTCTAACCAACAACCAGAATGCCTCTCCTATTCTGATCCTTTTATTCCCTCTCCTAGTGTACACTTCAGAAAAATCCCTATTGGGATTGATAACAAAAGTATTTAGAGTCCTGTCACACTCCAATTCTTACCCAAACTGGTTCAGAATGTTTACTAGACAAAACTACATATAAAGGTGAAAGCCATTTCCTGTCCACCAAATGACCAGTAGTAGTTGTATATTAAATAGAACCACAACTCATCAACCCAATAAAGTATTTATATCTGAAACAATAATGCTTACCAGCTATCACCTAATCGGTATATACCCTGCCCCTCCAAAAGCAACAAACCATGCTGATTATAGTGTACCTCCTGCCATTTAACTCGCCATAAACATGTTGCTCCCATTAAAGATACTAATAATGATCTCTTGAAATTAGCATAAGAAATAGTATATGATGTAGTCCCTTGACAATACATCATTAATCATTTTGGTCTTTCACTCTTTGTTGGACTCAATTTAGTCCTCGACGGTAAAATATGGATCCAATTTAGTCATCAAACATATTTGGTTGTAAATATCAAGAGGTTTTGACACTTTTGGTACTCTATTTTGATTATTTCCACTTTTAGTCCTTCGACTATTATGCGGAAAACACTTTTGGTACCCGTCTTTGAAAATTTTCCACATTTAGTCCTTCGACTTGAATAAAAGTGACACGTTTGGTCCTTCAACTATTATCAGTGACAATTTTGGTCATTCATCTATTGTGGCAAAATCATAGTGAAAGGACTAAATATGTCAATTTGATAATGCTCAAGAACTAAATGTAGGGAGTTTTGAAGTTGAGGACTATAAGTGACTCTCGCACAATAGATGAAGGACTAAAAAGGAAAAATTAAAAGTCGAGTACCAAAAGTGTCACTGACATAATAATCTGGAACTAAAAGTGGCAAAAACTCTAAATAAGAACTAAAGTTGGAGCATTTGACCATTAACTATGTAACCAGGGCCCAGTTTAGTCATCAGTGCATGGAAGTATCCTTCTTAATCAATGTGAAATATGCAAAAGGACTAAATTGGATATTAATTGCATAGTCTAGAACCAAATTAATAGCAAAATGAAGTTGAGGACCAAACTAGTAACCCAAATTGGATACTCGTATTATTATCTCTAAGCATGATAACCCAACACACAAGAATAAGCATGAGAAAAGCATACTTTTACATTCAGGAATTCCCCTGGTTGAAAATCCATGATCTTGCAGGAAGAAAAAAAATGAAAAAGACAAAAAGTGAATAAAACATGAAATATAAATGGGGGCATAATCAAGACATTTCCCTGAATAATGTGAATGATTCTAGAGAGAGGTACTCACATGAACATTGAAGTCATAATCTAAAGATGCGGGAAGAAGTTTTCTCAGTTCAAAGACCTGAAAAAGTTATAGAACAAAAAGAAGGATTATTACGATAAAAACAAAACCTTTAATTTGATTACTTGAATCCCTGCTTCAATTAGTTTTAATAATATATCTAGACAATATGGAGTGAAAGACTTACAGGGTTGTTGGGGGTCGAGACTGGGACAAAAGAATATTATTAATTAAAAGTAATGCCTCAAAAAATGCCTTTTTTAAAAAGTGTTAATTTCAAGTTTCAACTTTTACGGCACTGGGGTAAATGAAAATGATGAAAATGATGAAGGAATTTTTAAATATAAGAGTGCATTTTAACCCAATCACAGTGAGCCCATCTCACAAAGTCTTGGGTTCCCTTTGCTTCCTCGGAAATAATAGAAACCACAAAATAACCATTTCAGGTCAAGACGAGAAGTCATTTTCCGCCAAAATGTATGTAGTTAGGTAAATATACTTCCAGTACCAACCACAAGAAAATCTGAAAACATTTGCCCATGTAAACAACAGAGCCTTGGGTCAAATTTTACATGTCATTTACTATCTAAGTATCTAATACAAATATATGCCAGCTAAAAGGAATATTTTTAGAGAGCAACAGTGTACAAGAACAAATTTACCTCGCCGGGGGTTTCAAGGAGGGGTTGCCGGTCTGTTGAACCAATAATCTCTCTGCTTGCATAATTTTCTATCTTGGCATATCTAAAAGAAGGGCATGACTTGAGCAAGCAGTGAAACGGGGTAGAAATGCAATTTACACAAAAGAACCAAGGGAACATGCATTATAAGAAGTGCATGTAGCATTATAAATGAAGTGGAAACAAATGTAAGAAATACTCCCTTTGTCCCTTAAAACTTTGTCAACTTTCCTTTTTTGCTTGTCCCACTAACTTTGCCATTTTCCCTTTCAAGTAAAGAATTTGTGGTTTCAGTTAATTCTCTCTTCTCTGCACAAACCTCAACTACACAGTTTTTACTTTATTAATCCCCGTGCCGGTCAAACTCGGTTAAGTTTTAAGGGACAGAGAGAGTATTACTCAATGAGCATTTGTGATGTGGATGTAGAAAGTGCAAAAACCTTCTCTCCAGTACAACAAGGGTAGCAGATACATCCGACTTGACAGTGTGTTCCAGACCAGGAGGCAAATATGCATAAGAGTCCACCTTCATTTTATAGTTAAAAAGGCATTAGAAGCTCCATAGAATTCAACCATCATTACCACCACCACCACCACCATTGCACCAACACCAACACCTTAAACCAACTAGTCGTGGTTCTGTGGTTGGTGGCGTATCAAGATCAAGTGTGTTACCCATGTGCAGCCGCTGAGTGTGCTGCCTAATTATTTATGCTATAGGTAGATATTATTAAATGAAGTAAAAATATAATATTTCGTAACCGATCAATACTTATGATTATAATTTTTATAATGACATAGCATGCTTAATATATATGTGTGTGTACATAAATTTACACACACACACATATATATAGAGAGAGATCTATAATTGTAGCTTAAAGTATTCAATGGTACACCTCGGTAGGACACTCGATCCAGCAGAGTTGGTGGCATGAAACTCACCATGTCACTCAATTAGCAACATAAAATCAAGCAAGACAGCGAAGTGGCAAAATTAGACTTGAATGCTTGTCTGCATCAATCTTTCGACAGAGGTATAATGAGTCTAATGTTCTAAAGCCATCATCATCATAAGTTAGATGACAAATCATAGACCAAGAATGTTTGCCTTCAAATACTACAAAAGAACTATGTTTTCCCATGAGAGTAAGAATCCAAAGCGTAGTACTCTTTAGGAAAAGATAATTATCATAACTGCTTATCAAAGACCTAGAAAAGTAATGTCCCTCATCATCTCATCATTACCCCAGTGCCGCAAAGACTCCCACCTACGGTGGGGTAAGGGAGAAAAGTAATGTCTCTATATTTAAAAAAAAAAGGTACCTTCAGCAAGTGTCTTCTTCCAGGCACAATAGTCAAAACTACATTGCCCTCAACCACAAATATGAACCTGATTGACAATAGTAGTTGTGTGAGAGTGGAGAACATAATTGGAAGTTTTTTTTTCTGAGAAGCATGCTCTGAAATAACATTATAAAAGTTTCAAACCTTTCAACGCCCATAGGAGGAAGCGCGGATGTTGAATTTTCTGGAAACGAAAAAAAATGGGGAAGAAGGCGGGTTGCAGAACACTTGCATCAAAGCAAGTTAAAGTTGTTTCTCAAGTTGAAATACAAAACAACTACTAGTGAAAAAACTGAAAATTCAAACAAACCATTTCTAGTAAAAAACTCAAACCTTGCATTTTTGCCAAGTACATAACAAAATGTGATCCCATTTCAGGTGTGACTAAATATGCTGCGAGGGTGTTTGTCCTGTGGTGGTAATATTACAGCTGTTCAGGAAACAAATGAAGCAGAACATTGTAAGGAATCAATAGATTGCTCGAATTGGTTGGATGGGCATACCAATCTGGTAAAGGGCTGAACACATGACTTTCAGGAGCAACTAAAGCATGATCTCTTTTATACACACTCCTTGTAAACCCTGGCAAGTCTGTGTATAAATGTATATAATACATAAAGATTTTGGATCAGATAAAAAGTCTCCTTAGTCCTGAAAAGTAAGAACAAATGGGTGCATCATATCTAAGATCTAATGACTTTAAATATGTCAAAATGCATTAAAGTGGATTAAAACGCGGTGGCATGTTTGTAAATAAATCAAAGTTTTTCTTCATTGTAAAAAGTGATATTCCTGTGTACAAAAGTGTACCATAAATGACCAAAAGTGGATGACGAAAATCATTTGAATGCAATAGTGCACTTCGACAATCAAAAGTGGAGACGCCCGCACTTTGTATGGGAAGACCACTTTTTATTGGAACAGGATCATATACTCCGTATATATAAGGGGCGGATCAAGTACAAACAGTGCTTATTGTGCAAATATTTGTACGATGCATCTTTACGCTATTTGTATTGCATATTAACGTTCAAAGTGTTGCATATTATTCTGCAATACAATAAGCAATTGCATATTAACATTCAAAGTGTTGCATCCTAAAAAAGTTTGATTTTATTACCAAAATCTCACCGTTCATCTATAGCCTTTAGATCAACTTATCGGATGACCAAAATGAGTTTGTAGTTTGTAAGTTAGGAGGCGTTTGTATTTGATCCTTTATATATGGAGAGAGGAATATTCAGGTATGTCTGAACTGACGGGAATCGCCGCTCAACCAAGCCTGTTTAAGGACCTTCCAGGTTGCATATTTTGATGAAATTTTGTGAACATGTTCTTCATGGGTAGAACATGCACACAAAATTTTAGCTTAAAATTCGATCGGGAAGTCAGTTAAATAAATTGTTGAAAATCACTACATTTTTATGCATATTTTTGTGCAATAAGTTTCAATAATTTATTTAACTGACTTCTCGATTGAATTTTAAGTTGAAATTTTGTAGATATAATCTACACTTCATGAAAAACATACTCACAAAATTTCATCAAAAAATCCACCAGAAAGCCCCTCAAATGACGTCAACTGAACGACGGTTCTGGTCAGTCCAGACTAACGGGAATTACTCTCTCTCTATATATATATATGAGAGAAAAGTTCAAGTCCGGAAGTCTGGACCAGATTCTCCGGCCGGATGCCGCCTTTTCAGGTGGTTACCGATGGAATATTTTGATGAATTATTTTTAGCATGAAGTGAGATTATGTCCACCAATCAGCTAAACATTCAATCGGGAAGTCAGTTAATATTTTTTTTTAAAATAACTGTTTTTTGAAGTATATTTTGGCGTAGTTATCTTCAAATATTTATTTAACTAACTTCTCGGTTGAATTTTGAGCTGAAATTTGGTGAGCATAAACTATACTTGATGAAGAACGTGCCAAAAAAATTCATCAAAAAAATTAACCGGGAAGAGCCCCAATTGGCCTCAACCGGACGGCGGTTCCGGAAGATTACTCATATATATATATATATATATATATATATATACATATATATATTATAAAGAGAGAGAGGAATGATCATGTCCAGCCAGAGGGACAGGACCCTCCGTCCAGGCACTTAAATAAATTATTGAAACATACTGTGCCAAACTATATATATAAAAATGCATTATATTTAAATAATTTATTTAGCTGTCTTCCCGATGGAACTTTTATCTGATTTTTTTTTTGATAAACTAGACTTGATGAAGAAAATGGTCAAAAAATTCATCAAAAAATTTCACCGGGAACCGCCCCAAATGGCCGCAGCCGGACGGATACTGTTGGAAGGATGGAGAGGATATTTTTTCTATATGTATGTATGTATGTATAACTAAAATAAGTTTTTAGCTCTTTATCTAAAAACTGTTTTAGATACGTCTCACTGTTTTGTTTATTTGTGTGTGGACAGCATTTTATAAAGGTTGAGAATGGTGAACTGCATAAATATCCATGCAAAAAACAGCTGAGGCTTATAGTACATTTTTCCTGACAAAATCTTAATTTTAGATTCAAGTGGTGGGCGCACTGACCTTGGAGGCGAGAAGGAGAAAGTGTAGGGTTAGTGACTTTCCAATACAGTGGTCTAGAGCCGGAATCAAAACTCAAGATTGGTGGTGCAGAACAAAACCCGCCTTCTACGGCATATCCAATTTTATGAAAACCTGAAAGAAAATTCGTATTATAAGCATAAAATTTACTATATCCAATTGCGGAGCTGAAATAATGCAGTAAGAGAAACAAGTGAATGCTGCGATTGAAGAAACATTTATTTACTCAGAGTTATCGAGAGACGAAGAACAAATAGAAGAAAGGATTGCATCTTTGGGAGTTCTCTAACTCTTCACTTGCTGATACTCGATTTTTGCGGCTCTGCAGCCTCTGCTCAACAACAGATAGTTTTCCGGGTGAGTGAGGGAATTTTTTAAAAGGGTGAGCCCGGTCAGGAAAGATCCGGTAAATTAGTAAAAAGCGTAATGTATGAGATTTTTAACCGTCTGGTACGGTCCGGTTTCAAGGATGGAACCATTCGGCACCATGTTATTTCGGAACGGTACAAAACGGTACGATATAATGCCAAATACATGCTAAAAATGTTGAACAAATAAACAAATAGTGTAACGCAACTAAGAAGGAGTATATCAAAATGATGGCGCACGAGATAAATTTCATCCTTAATTTACTTAGTTTATGTGAAAATATAAAAAAGAATATCATCAAATTGTTGAATATAATAGAAATCATCAACGTTCTTCTTCGTCATTCTAGGTTAAATATTACTCTGTAGTTCTAATTTAATTTATAGTTGAACCTTGAGAGCTAAGATTTAAACCATATTAATTAAGTTGTAAAATTGCACAAACATGATACAACAAAAAGTCATGTACGCTAACATTACTAGAAATGAAGTCATTAATGATTTCTCTAAAATTTTAATATTCTTTCAATACATACCAAAATATAACATAAATTATCTAAAAAGAAAAAATAACAATATATATATATATATATATATTATATAAACACACACATTTAGCTATTTTAAGGACGCAAAAAATACATACTTGGGCTATAAAATTGTTGGTCTATCAAAGAGATTTATTGAATTGGTATAGAAAAATAAAAAAAATTCAAGTGCATTATTTTCAAAAAAATCCGGTCCGGTATTTTTCGGTTCTCGAAATCTAGGAATGGTCCCGTACTCGTTTCAAATGGTACGGTTTCGGTATGGGACAAAAATATATAGAACCGTTTAAATACCCGGTATTCGGTTCGGTACCATTACGGGACGGTTCAGTACCGGTTCAGTTCGAGTAAAATTGAATAAAAGAGGCATTTTTCTAATTTTATTCTTAAGTTTGAATAATATGTATTTTTTACTAAATTACGAAAATCAATTTTCACTTTTTTTTTGCGGTTTGTAACTTACTTTTAGGTATCATAAATTTTCATCTAAATAAATAAGTTTGTAATACTAACTTTGATCCGTAGATCATGAAAAAACATGTCGCTTAAAACAAATTATTACCAGTGTTACGTACTCAAACAGTCAAACATGTTATGAAAAAACATGTCTTTAAAGTAAGTTTCTAATACTAACTTTGATCCATAATTTTCACGTCAAAGTATTACTAGTGTTGTGTAATAGTTTTTCAAACCAATGTAGCCCCTTATTAAAACAGTGTCACTCTTGTTCGTGAATTGTCATTTATGTAAATGTTTTGTCTTATTTCAAATGTTTTTAATTACGAATACTTTATTTTGCATTATATATACACATGCACTAATTTTTAACGATGTCAAGTCATATTTGCCTTTTTTTGCACCTTTGGTTTTATCATGTTTCAATGTATGTACTTACTTTATGGTTCAGATATGAAAATGAAAAACCGGAAAATGAAAAATTAGAAAGTGAAAACATAAAACAAAAAAAAAAACATAAAATTGGAGAAATAAGTAAACGGGTACATAGATTCCCGGGTGGGTCAAATGCAAAACACGAGTTATTCTTTTAAACTAGATTTTTGTTTATATGTCTAATCATGTTATTAGATGGTGGTGGGAACCTAATGAATAGTTCGAAAGACTCGGATTTAAATCTCTCAAGATCTTGGGTGAGATCTTGAAATCACGCAAGGGATTAGTTCGGCGAAGTCGGAATCACCTTGTACTAACAAAAAACAAGATAATTACCCTAGGTATGAGTAAAACTCATCCACTTTCCCAATCTATGACTTAGTTAGCTTTTTCCCATTATAATATGTAAATTCATAATAATTAATTAGTTAATAAATTAATAAATTAATCAATAATTGATATGGACTAATATACCCTTAGCCTATTATTATTATAAAACCCTAATGAGAGAAAAGCAAACGATGGCGAGAGGGGCAACTAGATTCATCGACGGCAATTGACTGAGGGCTTCAACCCTCAGAGATGGACGAAGATGGCTATGCGAGGATCCGGCAGGCCGCAGGCCAACGGCGGTCGGCGGATGTTAGTCGCAGCGAGAGACTGACTATTTGTGGATCCCCATCGCAAGAGTACTATGGAAAAATTGAGACGACTCTGCGGTCACCATGGAGGATTCTCATCGCGCACCTCCCCTGTAATTACCTTTCTCAAACGGGGGACATCCTTATTTCAATTTTTCAATTTTGACCGTCTTTGAGCGGAGGAAGCAACTTGGAGTTATGGTGAGATGGGCGATTCTCCAAAACGTAGGCATCCAAAATGCTATTGAATAATTTTTATTTGTTGCAATAATTTTTATTTGATTATGGCACAAGGTTCACAGCCATTCATATTCACAGACTTATCCAAGTCGCTGCCACTCCATTCTAATTCTTCCTTCTCTATTTTTAAAATTAGGGTTTGTGGGCATTAAACATGGGCAGCGAACATAGATGGTGAGCATGCTCAGTGAACATGACAATAAATATGGTTGAATATGGGGAGTGAATATGGCAATATATAATGTTGTACATGTGCATTGAATGAATGAATTGACGAAGTGTGTTGTGTAGTGAATTGAAGACAATAGATCGTATCATAACCCTGGGGGAAAGTGCAGTGATTATGACGAAATGTAGAACAGTAACGTCGGCATTAAATGCAATATATTTAATTAAACATAAAAATACTAAAATTAGTAAATCTAAAAAATTTAAAATTAAAAGAATTATCAATAAATTCCTAAAGAGGATGAGAAGAGAACTAATGTTGGCGGAAGTGCAGTGATATGTTATCGGATGTGCAGTAATGTCGTGCAGTAACTGCCGTATAAGGTGCAATATTTTTAATCGGACGAAAGTAGTGTAAAAGGCACATTTTTTAAGCAAGAGTATTTTGGTCTAATATGAACGAATTTTTCTTTTTCTTTTTTATTTTCAGTCATACAAATGTCTAAAAACATAATTAGTCTTACTTAGAGAATCTCAATATCTTTTAGTCATATCTTGGGAAATTTCCCAAAAAAAAAACTTGTCATGATATATGCAAATATTCCGGTACATATTTGTATTTATAGAATTGTTATTGTTATCTATATCTATAAGATGAAATTTTTATTTGCTTATGTAGGGATGTTTTTAAGTGGACTAAAATTTTCGAATATTGTCTATTTAAATGTGGTCAAATCCGGTCTACTCAAATCTGGTGTATTGAAATCTCTTCAATTATATATTATAATTATTTTTATTAATTGAAAAAATTCCAATTATGTTATTATTATTATTATTATTAATTTCTTATAATTCATGTAATTCTTATTGTTTAATAGGTCTCATCATTAAATGTGTGTTTGGGGCGAGAATAGCATGGTGACAAACCTTTTTACTTTATTGTATTGTATTGTATTGTATTGTATTGTATTGTATTGTATTGTATTGTATTGTATTGTATTGTATTGTATTGTATTGTATTGTATTGTATTGTATTGTATTGTATTGCATTGCATTGCATTGCATTGCATTGCATTGCATTGCATTGCATTGCATTGCATTGCATTGCATTGCATTGCATTGCATTGCATTGCATTGCATTGCATTGCATTGCATTGCATTGCATTGCATTGCATTATATTATATTATATTATATTATATTATATTATATTATATTATATTATATTATATTATATTATATTATATTATATTATATTATATTATATTATATTATATTATATTATATTATATTATATTATATTATATTATATTATATTATATTATATTATATTATATTATATTATATTATATTATATTATATTATATTATATTATATTATATTATATTATATTATATTATATTATATTATATTATATTATATTATATTATATTATATTATATTATATTATATTATATTATATTATATTATATTATATTATATTATATTATATTATTATAGATGGGTGGTTCCCTTCAGCTTCCCCCACTTTGAAAAAAAGCAAAATTCACAAGAATAATCCCTACTTTTATGGATTTTACAATAATAATCTCTACTGAGAATGTTCATAAAAACAATCCACACTATCAATAGTGACCACAAGAATAAATTGGAGTAAATTCAAACTAATGCTCATTTAGTACTCCCAACCCCTACCTCCGATCCACCTTCTCCTTCACCACTCTTCTTCTTGGTTAACACTTTTATGTTACAACCTAAAGATTACCACATATGGTGGAAATGATGTTGAGATTAAACGGTCAACATTCTCGCCTGCAACCTTTAGCAGATTACACTCTGCTAAATCTCTTTTCTCCATTATCTCTTCAATTCATGTGCTCAACATTCTCGCCTGCAACCTTTAGCGGTCAAAGAATCATGGTTGCTCTGCTACAAACCCTCATCCCTTAACATAAATGGTAGACAACAAGAGAGATGGGCACTCTAGTCCTGTCATGCCAAAGTTTTCATGTTTGGAGTTTCTTGTGTTCACTGGTAAGGAGGATTTGCTCAGTTGGCTTCACTGATGCGAATCGTTCTTCTATAACCAAAATACCCAAGAAGTGACCAGGTTTCCTTAGCAGCATACCACTTGACTGGAGAGACGCAACTCTGGTCTTACAATTTAGATTTCAGGAATCCCAACTTGGCATGGCACCGCTTCAAACACTTTAGTAAGCTACATTTTTGCCAAATTGTAACTGAAAATGTTCTTGGAAACATTGCCGATCTGAAACAAAGTAAGGGTCAACTACTAGTTTGCTATAATGAGAAATTTCAAACCCTGCTTGCTCGAGCCACAACTGTATGTGAGGACTAGTTAGTTGATTTGTATACTTCTGGACTTGATGAAGTGTTACATATGGAAGTTGAGGCACAACACCATGTTAGCCTGGAAATAGCCATGAATATGGCTCAACCCTTCTTTGCCAAAGTTCGCATCATCTCACACTGTTATATCTGGAAATTGTCGTGTCGTGAGATGGCAAACAGAAAATCAAAATGTTTGTGTTATAATTGTGATGAAACTTATACACCCAAACACATGTGTAAACATTTATTTTATCTGGAACTCGGGG